CCCCGCGGGCATTCCCCCCCCCCCCCCATAAAGCTCTGGTTTCAGAAGGTTTTACAGATAGCTTTTTCATAGTTTTTTTTTTTTTTTTAAAACGGCCAGGATTAGGGATGAACATTCTCTCCTGAACAACCTCTTTACGTGTGCATGAGGCCAATGCAGACTCTCAGCCATTGCTGCTGCCGTTACTACTGTGGAGTTACATTCTGAATTCCTGCGGTAGATGCTGTGTTATATAGGTACAGTAGGATGTCATAAATCTGATCTCAGTTTGATGGATTTTTCCGTTTTCAAGATTTTGCACAGTAACTCCTGATTAGTTTCAGATGTTAAAATTAATAATGAGCTTACCAGAATAACAGAAAGGAGTCAGGGCTATTCTTGTTCAATAGTGTTTCATGTTTCTTCTTAACAGTATATAAAACTACTTTTTTGATCAACCAGTTTTCCATATTTTCTATTAAAGGATCCGCTATATCTTAGCCAGTAAAACAAGGACGCTCTCCCCTCTAGCAATAAGAGCTAAACGACCAGTGTCCTTCACATTCTGTCAGTATCCCAGAGAGGTCCCACAGCAAACATACAAGTTGTTTCTTTCCCAGTTTTGGGGAAAGCAATTATTTTAAATTATAATGTGCTAAAAATTTATCCTACCTTTTCTACTCATGTAGATAGGAATTTCAGATATAGCATTTGACTACATGAAGTCCTATGCTAAAGATGGCATTGTGCTCACAGAATAATTGAAAAAATCTGATGTCATTCAGAATTTTAATTATATCACAGAGGAGAGTCAATAAAGATTACATATTAAGGTCACTGAAAAGTAATAATTTATAAAAATGCAAGCTACTACTAAGCAAGTCAGGACAAGTGTTAGAACATTTATGCAGAAAAATGTGTGCGTGGACTGATCAAATTTTAACAGAAATTGTCTCATTACTACTATCTATTAGTACAGCAAGCGAAGCCTGCAAAATCAGTGGCATTATACCTACCACTAAGTTTCTTCAAGGACCTGCTCAAAGACTTTTCAGTCTTTCAATGGATCTTGGTAAGTCACCGTTAAAACAAGAGTGACCTCCTGCAGTTGTGATTTTGGAAATTTGGTGCCTGCCTGTACCACATAAATCCACATATCCACGAACAAAGGCTCTTAAAAGGCCTGAAGGAACTATTATGATAATCTGGTCTGACTTCCTGCCTGGCACAGGCCATAATATACAATACCTCACGCAGTAATTTCTTTACAAAGCACAAGAACTTGTAACTCTACTAGAAGATATTTCAGAGAGATCTAATCTTGATTTAATTACTCTAAGTGATCTACCACATTCCTTTCTAAGTGTTTCCAATGGTTAATTACCCCTATGGTACTGTATTTCCAATGTGAACTTGTCTTGCTTATCTCGCTGTGTTTTTGTCTGTTGAAGCCCTGTTCTATCTCCCTACGTAGATATTTTTAGATACTTAACCACATCACACCTGAACATTTTCTTACTTGAGATAAATAGTTTGCCTCCTTGGCAAATCAAAACAGAGATTCCCGAATCTAACGTACAGCAGCTGCTGGTGGTACTGCAGATAGATTTTGGCTATGTACACTTGAAGTGCAAAGTCAATTCAAATATAAGGAGGAGACATTAAAGATGCTCTTTAACGAGTTTTTCTGGCTTTCCTAGCAGTAACCCATTTGTAAGACCTGGAAATTTCAGAGAAATAGCACGCCAGTTTGGAGATTTTCATTTTTAACTTAATTGATAACTACCAATCTGGTTTGGGCTTGAATTTACCAAATACTCTAGTTAGCACACAAAGAAACCAATGGCCTCTGGCAGGTGGTTTTATACTATTGACGTCAAAATCGCATAAAAGTCCCGTTACCAGAATGAACCAGTACTTTCGCAAGCACTGCCAAGGCAGAAATCCAGGAGTGAGCAATATGTACCCTAAACTACTTCCAGTTGTGACTCTCGGAAACAGAACGTGCAAGTTTCCACTACTGCTGTCGTGCTATACTACTTAGTCATATTACTTAGACATTTATATGACTGTAGCATTCAGAGGCACCACCTAGGTTCTCTTGTGTTAGGTGATCAACTAAAAGCAGAGAAAACGTAATTCGTTTTTGCAACATCTGCCCAGTTCTTGTATGGCTGACTCCTGGTCAGGAGACAGGCGGGGGGCTTGCGTCCTCACTGGATCATGGAAGCTGATGAGATCAGTGCACAAAGACTGCTCAGAACTAGAATTTCTTCTGGCATTTACTATATCCCTGCACTACCCATGAGATTCTCAACACATTATAAAGTTCTTTAACCGACTGCCTATTCTAGAAGGTCTCTCAGTCCTCTGCACAGATTTGGTGCAAAACAGTAGCATCCTGCTGTGTCTCTGAGATATATTATATATGCACACACCTTTGTGCCTGCAACTACATGCACATGCACACACACATACTCTCCGCTTACTAATACAGAGCAAGAAAATCCAAAGCTAGTGCCTGCTATTTACATTTATAGCACCGCTTTAAAATTTTCCACAACAAATAACGTTGTATGACACCTCATTATTTTTTCACAACACTTCTGGTTTTTTCATTAATATTTCACATTTCTAGTCACTTGTGGTTTCAAACAGTTTACATTTTGCATAGCTTAACTGATTTTTTTCTTAGTCTCCCTCTTCCAAGGACATCCTTCTGCAAATCAGGGCCACACTTTACGAAGATGTATCAACTTTTATTGGTTTAAGATGTCCACAAGTTTAAAAACACTTCCTTTTAACAACACTTCTATTTGGAAGAAGTTTGACTTGACACAGATACAATGAATCCAGCTAACAACTCTGAAAGCTTTTAGTTTAACTGCTGATAAAAAACAAAACAGGCAAATATAGGAGGAAAAGAAAACAGTAACTAACAACATCTCCCTTCCCAATACACCAGGAATGGCTATTAAAACTATTACCTGAAACAAGGGGGACTGAAAAGTAAATGGATATTTCTGTTATGCTCTGAACAAGTTCATACTGCAGCTGCCTGTCAGAACAACTTGCCATCATACACCTCGTTATGTGTGACTTGACATTGCTGCTTAAAGTTGTAAGTGTACAGTTTTCTGTATCATCACAGCACATAAATCTCTGCATCTTCACTAAGTGACCACAGAAACAGAAAGATAAAAAACCATCATATTCCTCTTCTAGATAGTAACACATAGAAAGACCTTTTTTTCCTTTTTGCTTACCTAGCAAAAGCATACAAAACCTATTTCCAGAATGTAACCTGACTCACGTTACACAGAAGAAGAAAAGACATTCATTATAAGGAGAGTATCCTTCTCTAGGAAAAGAGATTTATTTAACTCTGTACTTCATAAACGCTCATTGCCACATCTCAAAAAACCAAAAATTTTCTGGGTCACGAATCAGTCACTTATTTTAATCAGCATATACTCTCATATTTCATTTTCAAACTGCAAAAAATTTCTTTTAAGTAAACATTTTAATTGCCTGAGTAATGAAAATTATAACGTCTGTTGAAAAAAATAATTCTCTCTAGATTCTTCAGAAGCAAAACAAGTTTCCAAATCTATACAGTTACTTATTTTGATCAATTTTTGTCATAAAGGAAAAAATAACTTAGTAGCAATAAAAAAATAGTCAAATATTATTAATTACACTCATTCCTGTGATAGTGTCTCTTTTCCTTTTTACATTGTGTTTTAACATACTGACCCATACTATCCAGGATCTACTTCAGAATGCTGAGCATATTTGTTAAAATTATCTGTAACTAACCTTAACATTTTAGTAAAGTGGAATAAAGAAGTCTTACCTTATCAGAGCTTCATTTTCAGTTCTTTCTCTGAAAAGAGTAAAGAAAACTGTATCAAAGATCCATTTGGTAATAAGTACTTTCTGAAATTATTTCAGTTCCCTTTCAATTAACACATAAAAACTATCGTTCTGTTATATAATCGAAATGAATTGCCATTCTTTTAATCATTCTCCACATGCTGGAACTGAGATATTTATTTGTTTATCTATCTTAACTAGCCATGGTTTCCTGAACAAATATTTCAAATGCTTTGGGAATATCAATACAAACAATGTATCCAGTTGACTCAGTACCTGAACTGCAGGCGGAGCAGGCATGCTTTATAGGTTTATTTTCAATGCAAATGGCATTTTATGATCGCTATTTGTAGTCCTTTTACTTTTATTTGACACTTGATCATTTTTACTATAAGATAGCATTTGCATTGCAAGATGCACATTCAGAAACTGTCCCAGACTGCAAGGTGGGTTTTTTCCCCTAAAGAAACTAGCTTCTGCTCCATCCCAAAACAGGAAGGGTCAATGGCAGATGTGGAAGAATGAAAACATCAAGCCATTTCATGAAATACCTCCTTCAACTAATCCGTTCCAAATGACACATTTACCAATAGCTTACCAATGGACATCGTGACCCGTGAAAAACAAATGAGCTTTAAAACTATTCAGAAGAAGTTCCAACACGATGACTCAGAACAACTGATAAATTCTGAGGCTTTCAAAAAAAATATTAATGTAACTAACCTTTCAGGTTTTTGAGAGTTTTGTTCAGTCCTTTGTAACTGAAGAGAACTATTTATGGGCATCAGTATTAAAATGGGGAATTGGACTCCGGTAACTTTGAAATAAATGGGAATTTTTCCCACTAAGATATGCAAGAACAGAATCACACTTTATCTCATTTCATTTTCTACATGAGCATAACACACAGCATAAAACGGAAAACAAAAAGCCAAATCTAATGAAATCTGGCAATTATTATCAATTTTTGTTGAAACACAAAGAAAACCATGCTGAGTCATAAGTAAAGCATCTCAGCCTCTAGCACGTTGTATACACTTCACTAGCCATCAGTCAATATGGTTAGAATTTCACAGATGAAGGGAAAACAAGAACAGAACTTGTTCCTCTTTCTCAAGGCTAAATTAAATAAAAACTTGACCTCAAAGCATATGATCAACGCAATGGTTGAAGATACAAATTTTCGGCTCTACAGCAAAAATACCACTTGCCTGGGGAGGCAGAGGGGTCTTCAAAGAATGGCTGTAGATCTGTTAATCCAAGGCAAACAAAGCTTAAGTGAATAATAAAACTGCCTCTTTCCTTAACTTTGAGCATGTTTACCTGGTATTTTATGAGATCGGTAAAATGAGCCTGTCCCAGAAACAGAACAAGTAAGCTTATAAGGAGACACTCCTGAAGCACAGAAAATCATTAGATTAAACATTCATTTTGAGAAAAGGCATGAGATCTTGTTTTTATGAATCGGCTCATCTGAGCTGAGATTTACAATGTCTGATTTACCTCAGCTGAGTATCTGCAGATGTACACCCTATAAAGGAAGAGGAATTTTTTTTATTACTCAGCAAAATATATAAAAATTCATGCATTCGATATTCTACAACCCTTTCTGATAATCAGCTATTAAAGCATGCATCGGCACCAGATTACTTCACACTTACCAACCTGGCTTTAGGCCTGGGTCATCCACTAGAGAGAACTTAAGAGAGGTTTTGCATACATTACAGGAATCAAGTGAGAGAAGCAGTAGTTACTGTATCACTGGATGCTACTCAGGGTTTCAATAGGATTGAATGAGATTTATTACAGCACGAGCCTAATCCTTCTTACCTTTCTCAGGCAAAACACCCACTGAAACTAGCCAGAGTGCAACTGAGGACATATTATATCTCCGATTCTTTATTACTCACCTATCCCAATACTACAGTAGTCCATAGCACAAAGTTTACAGGATCAGAATGCTTCTCTGGGCAGGGAAGGGAATATCCTACAGGACACCTTGTTTTAACCACAAAGCAGGTACAGAGCCAAGTCTGAAGAAGACTTAAAGTCTGAACTTGTGACAAGATCCACAGCTTTTGAAGCAAAGTATTTCTGTGCTAGAAACACTCATAGCACATGCTGCTTTGAAGCATATTTAACTCATCCTACGTACTTTTAAAAGAAGAATGAAAGCTGACTTTGTCAAGTTTAATGTCTCTCAGAAAAAAAAAAAAAAACACCACACTTAAAGGAATGGTTTGCCTAAGTTTTCCTTATCTGATCTTGTTGTTGATAACAGGCAACCTACAATGAGGGTCATGAGCACCTCCCACTGTATGTTCTCACGGGGCCCTCGGCCTGCCTAGCTTGACGATCTCAAAAGACAGCTGGCCAAGAGGACCATGTCCTAGAGAAAGAAGGGCCCATTACTGCTCTCCCATCAAGTAGCAGGAAGCTTCTCTCCCTCTTCAGATGATCAGGCTTCTATCCAAGTGGAGACAACCTTCACCTGAGCGTGATCAAAAGTACCCTGGATAAGTGAGGCACCTGCCATTCAGGGGCCCCTGCAGGAGACTTCGTGCTTTATGTTCCTCTGACACCTTGGCAAAGAATTTCATGTGGGCTCCTTAGATTCAGTTTAAAAAGTCACATTTTCTGTTAAGTGTCTACACTGCTTTCATGCTTAATGGCTGTATTACTTCAGATGGAGGGGAAGTGCTCTACAGAAAAGGAAGACAGGTTTTTTTTTTTTGGTTTTTTTTTTTTTACAATATTCAGATATGTCATATTTTTAAGTATATACCACTTTCCAGTAAAAACTATATTGTTTGGATGCACTCTAGCTGGATTCTAATAGACTACCTCAAAAGCTCATCAATACATTTGAGTCTAAGTAAGCAGAGAACCGTCCACACTGTGACAAAAGGCTCCATAACTTCAACAAGTTATTTAACATAATCGTCTCAATTCAGATAAGAGAAATCATAAATCTTTTTGCAAGTTCAGTCTTTTTCAGAACTCCTTATGAATCATTTTCATAAATACTGAAACTAACACTAAAAAACCCTACTGAAAAGTCTTTTTTTTCAAGGCACTTTGCTACTGATGCTGTTCATGAGTTTCCTTAGAAAAGGCTCCATATATCACCACTGACTCCAGTGGAACTACAGAAAACTAATACTGCCAAATTGATTAGACAGCAGAGAAGATGAATATGAAAATTTCCTCCTTTACCAGACTTTGAAAATTTTTGACTGCACAGGGCAGCACACATAAAAGGGTTCCCTCTCATTTCACTCATTATTATTTCATCTTTTTTTTTCCTGCATGTTGTTTAGCAGATACTGCAAGGTTTTAAATACTGCAACATATCCCACTATTAACCCAAATATGGTTTTGGTCCCTATAAGGAATACACCCAAATAGCTAAAATAAGCTCTTTCCAAATGATTTAGCACCTACCTCGTAGACATGAAGAAAAAAGGCATTGAGGGGCACTCCACATAATTCATATATAAACAACATATTCTCCCTAGCTCTTTGAACTGATGTTATGTGTATGTAGGGACAAGGGCACTACTCTTCTTCTTATACATATTTTGTTACCCAGCAAAATTGAATTCATTCTATTAAAAATTACTTTTAGGTTTCCGAAATCCCTCACAGAGCTCTCCAGTTAGAAAGAAACAATTAGGGAAATAATTGTTAAAGTTACCAGAAGATGCCAATCACTTCAGTCTTCCAGGCAGGTTCACCATCATCCTAGAATTTACTTTAGCCTACTTTTGTAGTCCCTGCAGGAGGCTCTGATGTTCAGAGGTCCACCAGTAGACTAACTGAGCAAAGTGACTACAGTTTTCTTTATCACAAAAGATCACAAAAAGCCAACTGAGCCCGGAAAGGCCATGGAGAACTTTTTCCATCAGGAACAAAAAAGAAAGGGTTGGGCGGGGGGGAGCGGGGGGAGGGACAAGAACCCTGACCAGGCAATATCCTTGTTCTTGAAGCCACTCCATTAAATTTGGCTTTCATTTCTGCTGTTTAGCAGCTTCTAATTAGAATTAAAATGCACATCAGTGAAAACTTCTGAAAAAAAACCAGCAGGTGAAATCTCACTGACCTCCATCAGTAAAGTTCTTCCTCCAGATGCAAGGAACTCGGCTGGCACAGATAAGTAATTTGATTCTTCCTACCCCACGACTTTTTAATCACAGTTCTAGCATTTGCAGTAGTTAGCAAGTGGTACGCTGAAGAGTGAAAAGCCATGGCTGCAGCATGCCAAAGTCTAAACTGTGACACACATTTTCATTTCTTAAACTGCATACAACATGCCTTGAACTGTTTGGTGCTTCCTTAGTGTGACTCAGTCCATACTGGCATTCCTAGGCTGTAGATATGCATATGTATATAGATGGCCTAAGCTCTTTGGAACCTACAGATGCATCTTAAGAATGTTTACTACTAGTGCAATGCTAATTATAATTATGATGCTGGTATATGCTATCTGCAGGAAAAAAGGCTAGAAGAAAACCCATGTTTTGATTGGGCAGCAAAGACAAGATCATAGCTACAAGGCAGAAAACACATAAAATAGCTCCGTATAAGGCATGTATACAGCTTAAAATTAACCATCATTGCCAAAAAACTGAATATAACCCCACCCACAGCCATATATGCCTACACATAATTGCCAACAAGAAGCATATAGGGTCTATATTCTGGAACATGTGGTCCATGACCCTAGCAGCATCAACGGTCATAAAGCCACTGTTTCAAGTTTGTTCTTTTCCCAAAGAGCTGAATGTGCAGGCACATTCCTCTTTCTTCAGTCATTATTTATTATTACTCTCGATGACTGGCTGTCATAGAAATCAAAGTTTAATGACTGTTTGCAAGCTAGTCCTCTTCATGGATCTAAAGAAGTCTTAGCTTTCAGTAGGTAGCTTGATTTAACTGTTTAGAAATGGAATAACGAGGAAAGAAAAATCACCATTGCTACTGTTGTGTGTTGCCTATGACCATTCTAAG